CTCTGTCCTACCTGAGACCCTCTGTCCTACCTGAGACCCTCTGTCCTACCTGAGACCCTCTGTTCTACCTGAGACACACTGTTCTACCTGAGACACACTGTCCTACCTGCTGCCTCTGACTCTCTGTATTCAGGTCCTACATCAACAGATAGATTAAGTTTTGTGTTTTTACTGCCACATGAATTCAGTCAGCTTTAAAAAGTCAAGTAAATAATGTGTAAATTATGAAGCTAGCATATTTAATTAGAGAAATAATCTGTGTGATTTTATGAATGTAAATTATAACAGGAAATCAATAAATATCAGAGTGGACCTGGACTCAAACTTAGCATTAAAATACAGTTTAACTGCTTAAAAAAACCCTCAAGAATAGAGAATGTCATCACTAAGTGATTGCTAACACTAGCTGATAGATAACTAGCAGCAAGCTAATTTTCATAAGAAAAATAACAGTGCTGTCTTACATTTTGACTTATTTTTTTGGTCCTTTGTAAAGAATAAAGACCATTAGCTGCTCCAGTAGCTCTGAAGCTCTGACCACCACGCTGTTTTACAGCATGCAGTGGGGGGCAGCTAGCACGCCCCCCACCGCACGCGCGCGCATGTGTGTCTGCGCGTGAGTGTGTGTATGCGTGTGTCTGCACGCGCGAGTGTGTGTCCTCGCACTTCAGAGAAACAGAAAGGAGAAGGTGTAGCTGGCTCCCAGCAGCTTCTGCAGTGTGATATGAGAGAGATGAGAAGCAGCAGCGGGGAGGGGCCGGAAGGGATCGGGCGCAGTGTACTTTTTTTTTTTTTCCGGAAAAAGGTAGACACAGCAGTTGTTACTGCCTACTGTCGGGAAATGTAGATGCACACAAAGGAAAAAAGATGTGCAAATATTGGTGGGGACTGTCCCTGTCCGGCCAAAGTTGGTGGGGACATGTCCACACCAGTCCTTCAGAATGTTATGCCCTTGTTATTTAGCAACTGTTTTGCTATATCTAACTTTTAACTATAACTTACCACTATTAGCTTCTAGTTAGAGTTTTGAWATGTTTAGCTATTAGCTAGCTTTTGCTATTATTAGCTAGATTTTTTGGTTTGTTTAGCTTTTAGCGATTGTTCCACTAATTTTCACTTTTAGCTACATTTTTGCTGTCTTAAAAAGCATTTATCTATTTAAGCTAGTTATTTATTACTTTAAAACTTTCAGATACCAATTTGCTATTTTTAGCTGATAGCTACTTTTCACTACTTTTTGCTAGCACTTTGGTACTTATAGTTTAGCTGTTGTTTTGCTACTTATATCTTTTAGCTAGTATTTTGGTATGTTTACCTTTTAGCCATCATTCAGCTACTTTTACCTTTTAGGTAGCCTTTTGATACTTTCTAATTTGAGCTAATGTTTTGCTACTTTTCAATTAGCTAACTTTTTGCAAGCTTTAATAGCTTTCACCTACTTTTAGCTAACAATTGACTACTTTTAATCTTCTAATGAATAATTTTGTCACTATTTTTAATTTATTTTGATAAAATGATTCTCAATGGAAATAAAATATTTACATTTGAGCTCAAATTAAAAATAACAAATCAGAACTGTATAGATTTCAGGTGAATATTTTGTTCTGTTAAATCAAGATTTATACAAAGATTTAAACAGTTTTATTCAAAGCAGCAGTGATGATAAAATAAAAGTATTTTAACTCTCAGATCTTTTAATCTACCCTCAGCTGTTGAATGAAGTTTTACCACCGAGGACAAAAATAACTCGACGAGGCGTTTCTGTAACTCGACMCTGCTCCTGACGAGACAAATATGGAAGATGAATTAACGAGTAAACATCAGTCGATGCGTGACGTCGTCTCTCCAACATTTCAGAGGAAGCTCCGCTCAGGTTTAGTTTTACTTCCCAAATATTCAGAAAGAAAAGATGTTGAGTAATAATTARGCAGAACTTTACAAACAAAGCAATTTGAGCGACTGACGAGCTGAGTTTAAAAAATATTTAGCTGTTTTTTAGCCTCTGCAGTCAGCTAACATGCTAACTCTTTTAACTTGTTCGGCTATTGGCTCATGTTTAAATCAGGACGCACTGAGAAAGGCTGCAAGACTCACCGATCTGGTCTTCAGGTATGAGGGACTCGATGGGCGGGTCCAGCTCGGAGGTCTGGCGCAGGTAGGCCTTGGTCTGGGTCATGAACTGCCTGACGGTCTGCAGGAAGTCCATCCCTGACGTGTGGCAGCTCCGGTTCTCCTGGACGAAGCTGATGTAATCCTGGACCAAGCAGCCGAAGTAGGTGCTCTTGTTCCGGGACAGCTCGGTGACCCGTTTCACGGCCCGTTTCTCCGGCGTCATGAGGGAGCTGAACATCCCGCTCACCTTACTGAAGCGTCCCTTCAGAGACCGGGGCAGGATGAAGGACCCGCCGTTCAGGCTCACGCCCACCCGTCCCCTCCGGGACTTGTAGGACGGACGAAAACGCATCTCCAGGTCTGCTTCCAGTCCCACYCCGTAGTCCTCGTCSTCCTCCTCCTCCGCGTCCTCGTCTTCGTCACTGCTGTCCTCCACCGTGTCCTGGTGGTTGAGGTGCTGGGACTGGGTCGGGGCCAGATTCAGGGAGAACCCGGGGGACCGGGAGTTATCCAGCGAGTCGGAGGAAGACGTGGACATGCTCATGCCGCTGAGCCGCTGGCGGCCCCTCTCCTGAGGACCCTCGGCGTTGTTCTCTGGTCGGTCCGCAGCCGGCGGCGGCGGCGGCTGGCAGTGCGGCAGCCTGGCGCGGGACAGAGCCTTGGCGATGGTCTCGTCGTCCAGGGCGATGTGGCACCGGTGGTCCTCCAGGTCGGGCTTCTTGGGCCGCGGAGGCGGGGCTCTGGGCGAGGTGGTGCTCTTGGACGGGCTGCTGGATTTGGAGCCCATTGACGGTCGAGGGGGTGCAGGGCGCCGGACGGAGGGCTGTGCTTTAGAGTTCACCACCTCCAGCATGCTCTTGGCTCTGCCGGCACCTGCCGGAGGCCCGGGCGGAGGCGGGGCCGGCCGGCGGCGGGGCATGGAGCGAGGA